TAAGAGCTTTATTTTTAATACTTATTTTCAATCACCTTTTTCAAATGTGGTCGTAAATACTTATAGGAATAAATTCAAATCATATAGGAGCGACAAATCTTTTTTTATCAAAGATGCAAACTAAAAGAGAATACTTTTGGATAGAAGTGTGCCTATGAATCTAACTTGAATAAATCCATGAAGGTCTTAGAAGGAATGCAGCCTTAGAGAGAGCTTCATTTATTGCAAAAATCCTTGAAATTTTGAAACATCTCGAGCATACTAATCCTTGTCTCCATTATACTTATAGAAATAAAACTTCATAGATTTGGTTGTGAGGTTGATCTACATGCTTCCTTCAACTGTACAATTTTTTGACGTAGACTCTAAACTTCTCTCATAGGCATAGAAATAGTACCTTGATGATTCACGTTCAAAATATGTGAAATTTTGACTCTTAAAGTGTTGACAAGCTCGTGAAGATTTATAATATTTGCAAATCTATTTTAACTTTTGCAAAGAATAGCATCTATAATCTTTTCTTCCATAGACAACTCAAATAAATTCAAAAAATTAAATTAGAAGAGGATAATCCACAACGTCTAATATCAAATAAAAATTTCCACAAAGAAGAATAATCTACTCTCTTTGAGAAAAAAATTAGTATTAGAAAATAAGATTGTTTATTTAAAGATGATTAATCTATAATCTTTAAAAGATAATAATAGAAGTGGAGTGATCCACTCACTTCTAAAATAAAATAAAAATTATAAATTAGCATTCTGTTAAATTCTCAAGGACATGAATCTCAAAAAAAGAAATCCTCAATACACTCTTGTGTCACTCAAAAAAACTAGAAAATCACTCAAAGATATTGTATAAGATATTATTAAATTAATATAATTTTATTTACTTCTATCGATTCATATTACTTAAATAATTACTAAAGTAAATATGTTTGTGACAATAGCTTGTATATATGCTCTCCAATTCTCTATATTAAATACTTTTGATCTACCACCAACATTATAATTTATATCATACAACTCAAATGTTGTTTATAAAATTGTACAATAAAATTTTGAGATACTTGTAAATCAGTTGCAATCTTTTTAGTACTTTCATATCTCTTGAATCTTGCCAAAGCACTCACTTCTATTTATTGTTTTATCTTAAGAGACATATCTTCTTGAAACTATTTTACCATGGCATGCATTGATAAAGTATAAGATTATAGAATTGTAGTATATAACCATATCTATGCTCTCAATTAAGCACAAAAAATCATTTGTGAATGTTGGATTTTTTTTATTTAGATTGCAATGATTTCCTCCAATCCAAATATGAACAAAACTTTTGAGATGAATCCCACATCCCTAGGATGTGACAACCAATGTTGATATGGGATTTGAGAGGTGAAAAGTTTTGAAATGGATAGAGGTTTGATATACATGTTTCTTTCTTCTATAAGAATTGTTGAATTTACACTTTGGTTGCAACAAAATTAACTTGCTTTAGAAGCTAATTCACTCTCGAGTTTGATTTCTACTTTAATAAATCAATCGTAAATTTTATTTAAACTTGAGATGAGTGATTTCATACCCAATTATGACTACCATTACACATGTATGGATAGAATACTTCAATATATTGATCATAGTTTTTAAAGTTAAAATAAAGATTAATGATTTCATTCTATGATATTTTTAAAAATATTCCATTGAAAAAAAATAATGTAATTAATAATCCTGGCACATGGTGCATGAACTCAAGGATGGACAAATGAGACTATGAGGGATGGGAATGAGAAATTTGCTCCATGTTCATGGGCTTTTGCAAGCAGTGTCCCCACTTTACCTGACATCCTATATCAACATCTGTTGTCACAACCATGTCATGCATATTATAAAGAATCTCGTGCAAAATGGGAGACAGGGTTGTGTTGTGGGGGTAAAGACCCTGCTCTCCACCATATTCCATCTCCCCTACTCCTACAGGTTTTTTATTTTTATTTTTATTTATTTATTTCTCTTTTCTCCACATGCCTGCAGAGTGATAAGTGGTCAAGCCATGATCATTGTCCCCTCTCACCTGATCCTCTTCCGTGGTTGTCCCCACATTGACAATACCCATCATACATCCATGGCCACAACATATTGGCCATGTTGCCCATTCCTACTGTTTGAAATAAAAGCTCCCTCACTTTTCTTTGATTTAGGGAGGTGTGACTCGCACCTTAAGATAGTGCTCTTGTTGCCTCTGGCTGCTTTGGCAGCAGTTCTATAGTTTAGAATAGAGGATGTTCTTTAAGACACAGGCAAATAACATGAGGAAAATATTTCTCAAGTGGGAAAGGTCTGTCATACGTCACATGACAATTACATTAAAGAAATATGGAAAAAAATGTCTGAGCAGCCTTTTTTTTAAATTACAGTTTCATGTCAAACATCACCTTTTGACTTACCAAATATAGCTGAGACCATCACAAGTGCACCAATTCGTCATTGACAAAATCTGATGCTCTGCAAAACTATTTGATATCTTTTTGGAGATCATAAATGATTGAAATAACAAAAAAGTTTGTCTTCACTTTTGATATTTCTAAACTTATACGCACATGTCTAACTACATTTAAAAATATCAAAAAACGCATATTCTTTAAATGGACATTCCAACGTCAGAGTTGCAGAAATAGTGCGAATGCGGAAGAAGCTTCACCCTGCCACCTCACTCCATTTTACGAGGGGTCCTGACCTCACGATTGGCCGTCTGAAGAGAAGGAACCGTAACGGAATGCTGACGGGGCTCCCGGCGATACGGTACACCCGGGGGGCTACATTCCCGACTCTGTCAGGGCCTTTGTAATGGCAAGGCTGGCGTAATTAATGGTGGCAGGGGGGAGGATGGGTTCGCGGTCACCCGTCGTCACCGCTCGACTTCCCTCATTTCCCCGATGGCCGTCTCCCGCTATTTGCTCCGGTTGTCCACCCCCCCACCCGCCGTTAACTCTTTCCTTTCCCGGACGATACGCTTGTCCTCTACCGGAATGGTACAGGCCAGCACCTTTATACGATGACATCGTGTGTGGCATGGAATACGCTACGTCGTATACTTATGTATTATAATAAATATTGTGCCTTTTGTTTGCATCCGTTCTTATTGTGTACTTGTGGAAATCTGTGCTGTTTGGCACGAAAAAGGTGGCCAACAACAAATATTTGTTTATTTATTTATTCATGGGAGCTTCCAAGCTCCAACTCTAGTGATCTTGCAGTGCTACTCTTGGCAATCTGCAACAACATACAGATTTTGATCTCTAATCAATTAAAAGTTCAGCTGTTGCTTCATTTTTGTCTTTGTTTTTATCCCCTTGGATTTATCCCTAAACTATTTTATATAAGAGATATCTATTCCCATGAAGGGGAAGAATCACAAGTGGATACAAGAAAACCTGTTACTGTAAATGTGCAGTAAATTTCATAATGAGCATTAGTTACTAAAGTTCATTTTTTTTATACTCAGGGGGTGATTGAACATGTGAAAACAAAATGATGAAGTTTATCTTTACGATGCTGTTGGAATGATGAGTAGAGGAGAGCATTCCATGCATTCCAAAAAAACCACCTCTTGTCTATGTGTCAATAAATTACGTGTTGCAGATTGCATGCACAATGGACTTTTAACCATTCACTTTCTTTTTTTGAATGTCTACAAGGCATGCCATGCCATGGTAGCATGATTCCATTACAAAATATATAGCCAATGCTTTTCCATGGCCAGCTCATGCATATCATTCATTTCAGGAATCTGGATATCACTCTTACAAGATTAAAAGCCTCTAAAAATGTGCTTGATCTACAGTTTTTCATCACATGGTTAATGAGTCAAACATTTTGAAATTAGTCATTCTGAGCATCTTTGATTGAATGTTGTATGAGTTTCTTTATTACTATTATTCTGTTTCCAGAGGGGCCTGTCAGTTTCTCCTACACAAGAGTTCTGTTAGAGTTATTATTAGAAAGCTTTCAATAAGAATGTAGTATATATACTATTATAAAAATAAAAATAACCAAAAACCCCATATGGATGTTTTAAAGAGAAAACATGGTCCACATCTAAATACCAACATACAAACAATCACAGTAGTTTGATCTTTTCCTTTTCAGCAAAAGTTAACAATTGTGATAATTGTTGATGAGGTCTTTGGTTGAGCTTCTGCTGCTTGGACAAACTTGTGGGCAGGATGGCACAAAGTAAGGGCCTGCAATAGGGAAGATTTTCACTCTGTCTTCCATTTCCATAGAGGACCTCCCAAAGGTAAGTTGTAGTGTGGAAAGCATAAGTGGGTAGGCAGGATCAGTCATGGCCACAGCATGAATTGCCACAACTGCTGTTTTTGTTGTTTTTGTTTTTGTTGTTGTTGTTGATGATGGTACTGTCCCATTTTATGTGTCAGTTTGGATTGGATCAACTCCACCATTAAATGATAGTATGGAAAATTCAAATGTTAGAAGATAAATTAAATATCCACCCAGTAAATAGAGAAATAGGCTGGAGTTTCATTCATCTTTGTATGAAAAGTAGATATGTCTAAATCATTTGATTTCCAGGTTGATGTCAAAATCAGGTGTTTAAATTTAAGCTTTGTGAGTTGAGGCTCAAGCATTCCAAGGGACACATATGTATAAATAAATAAATGTTATGACTTTTCTTGAAGGTTTTATCAGTTTTTACATTGGCTTGTGACATATTTTGCAATTACTACAAGCATTGAATCAAGCATTACGACAAGCAAGCAGTTTGCAGAAGTAGATTCAACAGGTGAATAATTCATATATATATATATATATATATATGTATATATATATATATGCAGAACTTATTATACATTCATACATACATGTACATGATTCACTCTACCCATCCCATTGTTAGTAAATTGAACTTAGATGTTAATAATTTTAGCTTGTAATATTAAGGATCACACTGAATACTTTTGGTAAGTGAACTGTTTCAGGAAAAAAAGAAAAAAAAGAAAAAAAAAGAGAAGAAGTTTACAAATGAATACATTCACCTGTGTTTAGTGTTCTTTTAAACTTCTATCTTTTGGGTGATGTTTGTGTGTGACGCCTGTGTACAATACCTTTCAAACTTTGCACCAGCTTTTGCAGCTCAACGGCATCATACTACCATAAAGCTATCGTTTCTAGAGAAAAGTTGGATGTCGGAGTTCAGCTTGCAAACTCCTGGGCCGTTCAAGATCACATAATATGAATGCTTCCTAAGCCATCAAACCTACCCGGGAACCTAACTCAACTTCCTGCCCTCGCACTCCCACACCTAAATCATTTACTGTTTCCTAGTTTTGTCTCAAATGGCACGCAATTTTCACCTGAACTAATGACCGGATCAACGTTCTCAAGACTTTGGCAAACTAGAGCACGCTGTTTAGAAGTAACAGGTACTAGAGTAATTTCGTATTATCTCCCGAGCTGCACGATCTTTCATCAAATTGAGCAACCTCAGTGTGGAAAGGCCTCTGTGCCTCACAACATGAACTGAAGTACTTCTTCACAACTTATCAATGATAACTGTGACGCAAAGACAACAACCAAGGCCTTTCGTTAGGACAACCTGGAGCCGTTGTTGCGCATTGAAGACACGAATATGAGCACGTGACTTGCAAACCAGAAGATTCTTGCACCAGTTGGCGGCGAGCACGGATTCGTGACTTGTGAGTATAAGTAGACTACTCAGATACACGATTGAAGGTCAGTGCTACTCATTCCAGGATTTGCAACTTCTTTGGTTTTACAAAGAAGTGGCGCGTCCAAGATACAGGATAAAAGTTTACCGTTACAGTTGTAGCTATGATGGCAAATCATGCTGCTGTGAGAGTCCTTCTGAGGATAGAGAACTCTCTTCATTTGCAAAACTTGCTCCAGTGTGACAGCCACTCGGATCACCAGCGGAAGATTGACGGAATCGGAAAAAATTCAAGAGTGCGATGTCGAAGTGCTAAATCCCTCACGCACCACCCTACACATGCAGCGAGAACAAGAGACCCGCCCTGGGTTGCCTTGGAGATAAAACTTAAGAAAGAGTCAACCAGGTCGAGCGAACGTAGAGGCGGGGGACGGCAGCGGAAGTGAGCTGCTGGAAGCGAGCGCGCCGAGCCCGCAAAAGAGTAGACGATGATCGGAGGCGATGGTGAACTACCCCATCCTTACGGCGCAGGCTCGAGACGGTGAGGCATCGGGGCTTGGTTCATCCGCAGGATTGCGACAATGCCAAATTCAATTCCCCGTCATAACCTCGGCAGGGGTCGAGAACGCCCTTCATGACCGGAGCAGATTTTATATCCTAATAAAAGTAGGATACGGCTGACAAAAAATAAGCGTAAAATAGAGCTACAAGCTGACAAAATAAGAAGCGCCTGCACGGGGGGGAATGTTAGGAAAAGAAGCGAGAGAGCTGGGGAACTCCACAACCCCACCGCGCCAAAGTGGAAGTCAGTGGCTATGAGGTCCTGATCGACATCCCCACAGTAATGTCACTCCGCTTATTTTTTCATTCAGAGGTTTGATGCTTGCATGTTGATTTGCAAAACAACATTGATTTCAACACCAAATATGGAATGAATCGATTCTTTTTTAATCTTATGCATTTTTTATGCAATAGTGTTTCTAGTTTTCTTGAAATTTATGGAAGCATTAATTGAATATTTTTCAATTTCTTACAGTGAAAAGCCAAAAATGTCTTGGTCAATCATTTGTTGTTGTTGTGGTTGTTGATGTTATATAAATATATATAATATCAACAATTGGTAGTAGCTAAATCAATCTTGATATTTCCCTACATTTAAATATAAACTTCATTATATTTTTTGATATTTTAGGAACGAAGTTTTTTTTTTTTTTTTTTTTTTTTTTTTTCCCATAATTCTAATATCATACACCATGACAAATGCTAACTATCACCCACATTACATATAATGTTTCTCATACATTTAAATCACAGATAAATAAATCTACCCCATGATGTATTGCATTCTTAGCATCTTTTTTCATGGATTTTTTTAATAATTAAAAAAATTATGCATAATTGCAATTCCCCCAGCATGTAATATTTTCTATTTGTAACAGCAACTTACCTACTTATGTCACCCAATCAACATGCAAGCATCAAACCTCTGAATGAAAAAATAAGTTGACTCCACAATTTTTTTTTTTTTTTTTTTTTTTTTTTTTCTTCTAGCGTTCCTATTTACAGACTTTTTTTTTTTTTTTTTTTTTTTTTTCCAACATGCCATAAACTGGTGCAATGGTGTGTGTCAAGCAAACACATGCATCACTCACCAGAATGGGTCCTTGGGTTCTGTATGGAACTGCTCTTTCTTTACTCTACTGGGGAGTCTGAGGGGAGCTAAGGGCTTTGCAATTCTCTCTGCCTGCCCAATGTAAGCAGCCTTTTCCATTAGATTGAGTAGACCATGGAGTTTGAGAGCATGAGAGAGAGAGAGGGAGTTTTGAAGGAGAAGATATCTGTCATTCACTCTGTGGGGACTAGAGACCACAACTATTGGCAATGGGGGAGGGATCACTTTCAAAAGCTGGTGGTTGCAGGATTTGATTCCTGCAAACCCTTGTTAAGCATGACCATGCCTGCACCTACCCATAGAGCCTCTAAGAATACTACAAAAAAAAAAAAAAAAAAAAACAAAAAAACAAAACAAAACAAAACCAAATCTCACCATCAGTAGCAGCAGGGCTCCACTCTCATGTTACACCACCTTACCAGACACAACACCAAAAAGCTAAAACGGGAAAAAGGAAAGTTGTGTATGCATGCAAATATATGGATTCAGATTTGAGTTTGGATTTGGAGAGGGCCCATAGGGAGTGGGTGAGATGGAGTCAGGATTATGAGTTTTGTTTACAACTTGGCCAAGTGTAGAAGTGGGTGCGAGTGTTGGAAATCAGGGTGGGGATGGGGGCCAGAAAGGGGGGATGAAAGTAGCAGCCCCCTTGGAGCGACAGGTTGCCAGTCCGTGACCACTTTCAGATCCAGTGAGACCGTCACACGTTTGCATGCCATGGAGAGTGACGGAAGTGAATGGCGAAGGGGGTCACAGGGGAATAACACGGAAACACGAAAGGAAGGGGGTGTTACACACACCTCCCCCCCCCCCCTCAGCCCCACTTCTATATTTAGGAGGAGCGAGTGTGGGGGAAGGAAGAGCAGTAAGTAATGTACCAGAACACCGAGCCCGGGGATGCCGATATCGAATGGTGCAGCGTGGGGCTGTGACCCCTCACGGCCTGCCACTTTGTTTGGCATTGTGGGGATGTGATGCGAATTGCTGTATGTTGCCAGAGTACGGCCTCTGGCGCTGGAGGAGCATGGACAGCTGATGGCAAGTGATGGGAGTTGCGGGCGGGGGCAGTATAAGGACGGGAGGAAGCCATAGTGGCGGGGTTTGGAACATTTGCGCGGGCCGGTTGGAAGGGGGCGGGGGCGGGGGCGGGGTTTGGGGTTGGGCGGGTGGTGCGCGTCGCGGGCTCGTGTGGGGGATGTGGAAGGTGAGGCTCGAGTGCAGACACTATTCAAGTGTGGGCGGGGGGAGCGGGAGTGACAGAAGAGAGTGAGCACGGTTGCGCCTGTACGAGGATAACGTACTTGCTCAAGTGTGCTCACTCTCTTCATGTCGCGCCTCTCCCTCGTCGTTGTGACGTCATTTGTGATGAGAGGGTGGGGAGGGGGGTGTGTGAGGGAGGAGGAGGGGAGGTGAAGGGTGTGGTGAGCATGTGGGGGAAGTTGATGGTGATAAGTAGGTGTGGAATGTTACAAGTGTGATTAAAAAATCGTGCGCAGCATATGTGACAAGTATGAAGGTGACGGGTAACATCAATACACAGTGCCGGCACATGATGTGTAACGGTTGCTGGAGAACGTGCGCGTGATCGACTGCAGCAAAAGCTATCGCAGAGAATGGTCGGTGCACTGCCTGGTTTGCTTCATGCTTACTTCTTGGGATGTTACGTTTTGCCACGCAGCTCTAGGTCGCACGATATCGTCGAGATTATTACGGAAATGTGTCTTTCGATGCTGCTGAACTTTCAAGGGTGCAACATCACCGATTGTTGGCCTCAGGTGAACCTGTACAATGATGACATCATACAACGCGGAACAAGTGAGAAACGTCCTGCGCCTGTTCGGCGATCGGCGATCTGGTTGTGTTGGGAACACGATTAGTATCTACACGAATGATCCGATCAGCATTTCTATAACTGGAGTTGAAGTTCATGTGCATTCTACTCATTCGCCATGTAAAAAACCTGTGCAAATCGAGATTCTTGTTCCAGCTTGTCCCTCGCCGAACCAGCGAATCATCTTAGTATCTGTGTGACCAAACAGACAGAACGGTGAGTCAGTCGTTGATTGAACATGTTGTGAGATTGTAGAGCAGCTTTTATCAATTCGTATTTCACGGACCGTTAAAGCCAAGCTTCACTGTGTGATTCGGACCTCATGGTTTGAAGCTTACTCTTGCCTTCACATGTCATCTTCATATGTACAGGAGGCACGCAGATTCACCTGAACGGACGGCGTCTAGATTTAATGTTTGCTACATCGGTACTCTGACTTCGGCGTTGGTCAAGGAGTCTCAAACTGAAAACAGAGAATCGAATAATCAATACTCTCTCTCTGCGAATCTAAGACGTAGATGTTCTCGAATCAGTCATCTGGAGTGTTTTTCTGGCAGCAAGAGAGACCTATAGTTGACAGGAATTATTGTCAGGTTATCACCCTTAACACCCTACTTTTAAGGAATGCACAAGAAAGCATGTGTGTTTTGTGATGTAAATTCGGGAAGAATTACAGTACGTATTGGTGCTGCAGAATAAACTTCGTCACATCGTGAGAAGTCTCTAATAGATTATCTCCTTATCTTCAATGGCGTGTCTGATTTTAAAATGATCCTTCGTCTCATCCCTGTAAAGTTGCATGCAGGAGCTGCATTCACTTACCCAAAGATCGTCGATGACATGTCAATCATTGTCGACAAGTTTTGCATGTGACAAAACGTCTTAACCGCTGAAACATGAACATCTAACAGTTCATGTTTCAACTAGCAAGCTGCCAATTTCAATCGCTTGAACTTGATGTTCTAGACGTATTTGTGAAGGAATTTTGTATGGAGTCGTTCAAGAACTGTATGCCGTACCCTCGCCTTCATTCCGGAAGACAGTGCAGATACCCTTGAACGTCGTTGTATATCCTCTACGCGGAACTAATATTTGTTGCAGTATTTGGACTTATTTCAAAGCGTCGTTGTACTTCAAGTATTTCTAAGAGAATTGCAATGACAGGGAGTCCACAAAGGAGCAACTGGGATGTTGCATTCTGCGACAGTTGGAATACTAATCTGTGTGACTATTCCGACTATGGCACATGAAGTCGAGCGGCTGGAATGACTTATTGACGTGAAGCAAGGTTGCTTGTATATGAAATGCTAGTTGAAAGCTAACTCATATATATGAAAGCCTCACTACAAAATGTGTGCGAAGACATGTTGGATAGGATCTGACTCTACCTCAGATCTATATGTAAAGTCCCACAGGCAATCAACTACAAATTAGACAAACATCTACTTCCTGTGAATACTGCTACACTGCTGAAGCGAAAAAGAGCTCAAAGATGCGAAATCTTCCCTATTTTGAGCTTGTACATGTAATTTCCCATCAATTCATGTAAGCGGCAGGGTTCTATTTCCATTCAAGGTATTTGGTGTTGGCGTAAGTTACAGCAAAGTCACGAGTGAAGACTTCATCATGATCTGGTATGGTTAAGTCCGTAAATGACCTGTGCTTTATTCGTAGGCCATCGAATGAAACTTTCGTTTTCGTGAGCATTACATTCGATGAATCACAAATGGGCGTTGAGCCTCATTTGCTTCCTTTGGAAGTGACTCCTTACGATGTTGGTTGAATTGTGGTCTCCTTTGTTGTTGTCAATATAAAACTTGATAGAAGAATTATCAAAGTCTCCGAATCTCTTGCACAGCTAGAAGCCAGAAGAGCAATCTGCTAATTTTCCAAGCCTTATCTGTCTATTTATCAATCACCTGACGGGATCATGAACTCAGTATTTTAACAGTTGGAGTAACCTGGATCAGACCCCCAAGTCGTATTGACTACTGTGAAGTGTTTAATCCATGAAAGATAGTTGGCATGTTCCTCACGTCTAAGTACTTGCTACGTCGCCAATGTCTCAAATCAGTTCATCTTGTCAATCCCCACCTATGGTGGCAACTGCAGAGCATAATCATTTTACTTTGATTTCTGAGTACCTCTACTTTGAGATTGGAAAGCGATGTAAGTGTATCTTTATTTTTGTCAAAATTACCAAAATAGGTATCATCAGAAGAATTCTCAGTTGAGTTGTATGCAATGTGCAGGGTAATGTAGATCGGATCAACTTGAAAAAAGTACTCAACGATTAACGGAGTCTACAACTTGTATGTTGCGCAAATTCAGGATCATAATGATCAAAATGCTGGTACGCATTGAAGTGAGTCTAGTTGCTTTGTTCAGCACCGTAATGTTCTACCACCGGTTTTGCTGCTGTGAGACTTTCTTCAGTTGTTTCTATTTCATTTCCTTTTGCCAAGCACTACTGCGGACCCATTCCAGTTTCTGAAGAGGTTAATACCGTCTAATTCTTGTGAAGTCTTCTCGCTGATCCTCACTGTGTTAAAGTTCATACCTTTTCGGTTACTGTTCCGACTCGACTGTTCGGTTAAGTCTATGTTAAGATATAGTGAATCATGTCGGTTACTATAATCTCATGCAGCCATAAATTCATTTATGACTATGAAAATACGTAAGTCGTTCTGGAACGGTTTGAGTCTCATTCCTAAGGCAACAGCGGCCGCTGCAGTCTCATGTGATTCATTATGGAAGCATCAAAATAATTGAAAGATATGAGTCAGTTCTATGCTGACATGAAGCCTCGAGAGATCACGTCACAATCTTCAGTTATGACATCGATGAAATGTACATCTAGAAAAAACATTCTTCAGGTCTTTGCAGAACTTGTCATGCCGATGGCTGCACAGGAGCCACAAGGACATTCTGCACTAAAAAACTTCCTGCATTTGAGGATGACCTTGTCAAGCTAACTTTTGATCTTATGGCGCTGTGGTGGACCAACCTTTGAGTACGTAATCCTCTAAGCTGTAACCAGGTATACCCTCCTAGACAGTTGCTGCAACTTTGAGCGATGCGGTGTGTCCGTCACGGTTTTCTTGCATGTAGTTTGACGTTAGCATGAAAAGGCAGATTGTTAACATCTCAATTACTATCTGTAAGCTGAAATACATTTACTCATGTCGTCAATGTACAGGACACTTAGGTTGAACCTGTTTACCTTCATGGAGCATGGACAGATTATTTAGGGATTGTACTGGCATTCTGGTGAGAAGGTACGTTTGTCAGCCATCTATAGTTGAGATTCCCATGAAAAATATTTGGTCATTACAAGACCAGTCCTCTCCTATTCACTTGGGTATATGAGTTAAAATAATGTGTTTCTCCTACAACTTGCTAAGTTATTTTTGCTGTAAACATACTGTAAACAAATCTCTGGTTAAATTGAGCAATTTCACTGGTTTTGAGAATGCATCAGTTTCAAAATCAGGAAACGTTAGCACAAATCTATAATGGTTTAACAATTACTCTAAAGTCGTAGCTTGAAAGCAAAGTTTATCTCCGAAATTTAGATGAGGGACACCAAAATTTTTAACCTTCCAGTTTTATTACTTCCGCATGTTACTCTCAACAACTTAAGAGAGACCACAACCTGGGAAATGTATCAATACCAGGAAATGAGGAAAGTATGGGATTAGGATCCAGTTGTTGGAAATTTGAACTATTTGGGTACAAGTATGCAACCAAATTGTGCGCCAAATCATTCTTCTCATTGCGATGGAAATACCGGGGACAGATTAGTGGGAATTAAAATTACTTGATATGCGACATTTTTCCTCATAATCTCTATCCATTGAACTCAATGTTGAAGAGATTGATTTTTATTTTTCTTATTTATTTGTTTATTTTGGGTGTGTTTTTGACCAAGAAAAATGCATGAGTGATTTGATGTTCCTTGTGGCAGGTCAGCTGTAGTACAAGTGAGCTGAAATAAAGCTTAATTTATCAAATCGTCATGAAAATATGAAGAAAAATCAGTTGGTAATTTCTCAGGGGTTGGTTGCTATCAGAAATAGGTGGCAACTTTAAGGGCTCTAGCAAGAGAAAAGAAGAGTCATAGTTTGCTGTAGTTCACTGTAGGTGCCCCTTGACCTTGTTGGCTTTATCTTTTCCTTTCTTGCATCTGGAAAATGCCCTGAAACCCCACTCCTTTCTGCAACCCTGAACTTGCTCACATGTCAGGTGTTCCATTTGGTTTTGAAAGGTGAGAGGGTGGAGGTCTCTTGTGTTTGGATGGTTTGCTTGCACTGAAGGATGAGGTTTCCAGGCCAACAAGCCTCTCATTGGGTGCCAGCATGTCTGCCCAAAAGTCTCAACCTCCATTGCAGAGAATTAGGATTCTAATTATTTCTTGTTCGTACCATTCCCATGCTTAATAAAGACTTCATATTCTGTGTTGAGGATTGGTGCTCTCTAAGACAACTTGCTAGGGCAATGTGGATTCACCAAGTATCTTCAAGAGCTACAATACTCAGGGTGAGTATTCTGTTGGGGACATGAAGTTTGGATGGAAAATTTGGAGGTTTTGATGTAATTAAAAGATGAAATACTGGATTTTATGGAGTAAAGTTTTTTGTGTGTTGATTGCTCAGGGTCAGCAGCATGTTCATCAAAGTCAATAGCTCTTATCTTGGTGTTTTCTATTGTACAGGGAATGGACTAGAGTCAGTAGAATAGTCAAGGGATTAGACTTCCACCTGGTTGTGTTGGATTGCAACAAGGTGAAAGGATGATGAGACCAGGACAAAGTCACTTGCTCCCTAACCATACAGTACTCACATGTATGAGTACTCACATGAATGAATGACAAGAAAATGTATCCATTACTTGCCCCTATTACACCGGGTAAGGTACAAGAACACTAGCAAAGTGTATAGAAAGTTATCTATGTAGGACTGCCAAATATTTGAACCCACAATTCTTTTGATATTTGAACTTCAAGATAACTTAATTGACTTAAATTTAGGGGAATGTTAAAGTGACCCAAAATTTTACTAAAGCAACCGACTTATCTAGACCATCATTGCACCTCTTTATTCCCAACTTCTATTCTCGAAGTTCCTAATCCCATTCTCATTGCACATCATTGCACCTCTTTATTCCCAACTTCTATTCTCGAAGTTCCTAATCCCATTCTCATTGCACATCATTGCACCTCTTTATTCCCAACTTCTATTCTCGAAGTTCCTAGCCCCATTTTCATTGCACATCATTGCACTTCTTTATTCCCAACTTCTATTCTCTAAGTTTCTAGCCCTATTCTCATTGCACATCATTGCACCTATTTATTCCCAACTTCTATTCTCCAAGTTCCTAGCCCCATTCTCATTGTACATCTCTTATCTCGATCTCTCCAATCCCATTCTTTATCCATGTCCCAATCTCTTGTTTTGATCCCCCTCTCTAATCCTCAATAAACATTTGTGGATTGTTTCTCAATAACATACTTGAATCTTATGAAAGATATCAAGGTTTAATCTTTGAAATACATTATTACATTCAAAGTATTTGAAGTAGTGGCCTCATCCCACTATTTTGGATATTAGGATTATGATAAGTTGGTAGGTTGCTTTTTGTTTTGAAAATTGAATGGCTTGTCAAATATCTTTGAGAAATCTCCAACAAGGCTTGTGAGATGGAATTATTAAAGTTTTAACTTTGCCCTATTTCTAGATATGATTGATTGAAAATCCTAGAAATTGGAACTCGGATCCAATATTAACTATTTGGATCTTAAGAGCTAGTTGAGAAAAGATTCACTTAGTGGAATATGGAGGTGGGATCAAAAGATTTTAGATTTTTGTAAGAAATTTTGTATTCTTTGTCAATTATATTATACTTTAGCTTTAATTATGCACATAAATTATAATAAGGCTTTCTTGCTCGGCAACAAAGAAAACACTCTTGTGTTCATTGAAAAATAGCTCCAGTATTGTAATCTCACAAAGTTTCAAATTAAATGCTATGATATATTGAAAGGCAACCTTAAAAGACCTAGATATTTTGATTGAAATTTGACCTCTTAGAACATAGGTCTTTGAGGCATAAATATGCTCCAAAGTCCACCATCGTCACGTCCAAATTGGTTTTGACTTATATCATTGTCTCTCACAAATTACTTCCCTCCCTCCACTTCTCTCTAGTTTTTGTGTTTCTACTCATTGAGTTTGAATTTATTAAGTATAAGTTGACTAATTTTCCTATAGCAAAGAAAAATATAAGTGAAAATTGACATTAAAAAGGCATCATACTTCAATTATGCAAGCAAAATTTTCAAAGGTCAACCCAACCTTAACTTGCAATCTTGAAGCATGCTCACCAAAGAAAAGCTACTACAATTATTACAAGATTTTTCAAAGGTCTTGGACTAGCTTATTGAATATGCATTTCTATTCTTTCTTAGCAAAAATCATCACTTATTGTAAACTCCTATATAACATATAAATTCCTGATCAGTGTGATATAAGCTAAGTAAGCTAAGTAACTATGTTGATAAGATTTGTTTAATACACAAGAATCTATATACCAACCTTCTATGATGTTTCAAAAACTAGTCTATTTTGAAGCTCTTCCTAAACCTCCCATATAGAAAGCATGTTGTTGAAAAATAATCTACAAATATTTACTTGGAACTACAAAAAGGGGGCAAGAATGAGAAACTAGAATATAGATAGGAAACAAGATTGAGGAGATCGGGACAAGAAATGGACAATGAAAATGAGACTAGGAACTTAAGAAATATGAGTTGAAAACAAAAAGGTATAATGATAGTTTAGATAGGTGGGTTGCCTTAGTAAAATTTTAGATCATTTTAACATTCTTCTAAATTTATGTAGAATTTTAGATTTTAGTAAAGAAATTCAAAATAGTTGTAGAGATATAAAAGATTGAATCTTGTATTTTTATTTATTAAGATTATATTTATTTTAAAATTATTTTATACTTTGCACTTTACAGCAAATAAATAAAATATCTTATTGTATTTAAAATTAACACACTTAATATTTATCTTATCAAAAATAAAACTCTCCAAATTTTTCCAAAATTTAGTAAATTAAAAAGATAGTCTCCAAGTTTTATGTATTATAAACAAATATAGTATAACATTGGAATTTTAAAGCTTTTTTTAAAAAAAATTTATGGTGATAAAGAATTGTATAATTTTAAATGAAAGACACCAAATATATAGATATCTATTTTATTTAAAAGAACCACAAAAAGAATTTAATAAAATTATTTTAAAGAAAATATTAATTATATATATATATAATTTATAAAAAAGTAGGATATAAGATCAACTAGTAGCAAAATAATATATTCAAATAGAAATATTAATTCTAATACTCAAGATTACTTCAATTTTTATTTTGTTTATAATAATTAATAAATATAATTTAAAATTAGATTATATAGATGTTATTATTATTATTATTATTCTATATATAATTTTATAAAAAAAATTTAAAAAAATATATTTTTATATATAATAAGTTTAAGGTTTTAAAAAATCTAAAAAATAATCTTAAATTTAGGATAAAAAAATTATTATATGGATTAAAACAAAGTCATAAGCCATGATATGCATAAATTTAATACCTTCAAGATGAAACAATGATATACTTGCAATAATTTTAATTGTTGTATATATTTCAAACAACTACCAAAGAATGGTTTTGTAACTATTTTATATGTGAGTTATGCATAATTAAAATGTCAGTTGTGGTAAAAACATAATTTGGTACTGATAATTTAGAAATGGAGCTACATAATGAAATTAATATAGAATATCCAAAGCTTACTAATAGAATTTAAAAATCTCATTAATTCATTTTAATTAATATATTTGTTAAAAACATAATATATTAATATTTTTTTTAGAGATGAATATGTTAAGTTATAGAATTTATTTGAAGATATAAATTTAAATTAAGGTTTGGAAGGTATTTAAGTTAAAAAAAACTTTTTAGAAAAAATCCAAATACAATCTTAATAAATATTGGAAGTAATTAATTTAATTGCTATATTGATTTTTTTTATTTGTAATAGTTTGTGTTTAATTCTTAAAACCAAAGTCTAAAATAGTCTTTTATTTATATGTATTACTTATTAAAAAAGAATAATATTATAGTTAATATGTAAAAAAACAATCTCAAAAAAATATTATGAATTTTTAATAATTTAAAAAGAAAATAGAATTTTTAGATAATTTAAATTTATTTATTTATTATTAAAAATTTATAAGATAGAAAAAGTAGCCTTAATCTAATATTAGAATTTTTAAAAAATTAAAAAAAAATTAAAATTGATTTCAATTTTTTTTAGAGTTTTTAGAATATATTTTAAAGATTTTGGTAAAAATAATTTAATCTCTTTTGGAAGCCATTATTAAGAATTGAAACAAGCTTCAAATGTCCTACAAAGATCTTAAAATCTTTGGATATATCTCAATACTATGAAAAAGTTGAATTTACAAAAAAATAGTTTTATTAAAAGAAAGTAGATTAATAAAAAAATATATTAATATTATAATAGAATATTGAATGCATATGTTTCATATAGATTGTAGCACCTTGGAAGTAAGTATAAAGATAAGAATAAGCTCTCATAGCTCTTCTAAGACATCCTATACACTACTTATAGGTCTTGAAGGAATTCAAATTCTTGGCTATAAAATCAAATTATACTTGAGATAAATCCTAATTGTCTAAATTTTCTATTTTTTACTTTCTACCTTTAAAATTTCTAAATTTTTCTATAATAACTTATATTTTTATATTTTTATGTCATGAAAAAAATAAGAATTAATGCTTATAAATCATCTACTTTATTTATTAACATAACTAACATCAAGAATAATTATACATCAAAATAAAAATAATAGTAAAATTTTTATTAAAATAAATTTTACTTTAATTATATTTTTATGTCACAAATTATTTTAGATGCAAAATAACATGAATTAAAAAATCAAGAATTCTTTTTTAAGATATTTTATAATACTAGGTCCAAGTTTTGAAGACTTTTTAACTAAGTACAACTTGTCATTAAATTCTAATTATAAAATTTTTTACTTTTTAACATCCTAGATTAGATTTATTAAAATATTACTTATGATGTATTTTTTAATTTTAGTTCTTATTAATTAATAAGATTTGGATCTTACAAAAATTAATTTTTTATATTTTTAAAAATAATTATTTAAAAATTTTAACAACTAAAAGATAATTTTTAATTTTTAACATTTAACAATTTAAAGCTACTAGCCATCTAAATATTATTCAAAGATGTAACACAACTAAAAGGTTAAAAGTATAGTTGCAAAAAAAAAAACAATATACTATAAAATAAGTATGCCTACTTACAACAAATATTTTAAAAAATGAAGCTTGTACAACATAATTTTATAAAAAGTTTTATTTATCTTTTTAAAATATTTCTATGCTAAAATTTATTTTATTCAAGACTTCAAAATCATATGGTTTATACTTGGATTTTTAAATTTTTTTTTTTTTATATATTTTTCTATATCTTCATTAATAAATTTGATATGCATAAAAAGATATTTTTAGAATAATAAAAATAAAATTTACAATTATAAGAAAATATAGCTAATATTGATGTATGTAATACCTATATATTAAGATTGCTTAAGGAGACAAGTGATGCTTCTCCTTCATCGCATGGATGGGCCTTTGTTTTCATCAAAAAGGTTCATGTTTTGTGGAGTTCACAACTCATTTTATAGTTGATCAAAGAGTTCTATAGGAGTTTTTCATGGGATTTCACACTGATTTTTTCCTCCTTGGATTAATGCACTTCATATTGTAATCATATAGATATTGGAAAGGCAAATACATTGAGGAAGGCTCAGCAAGCGTTTAAGTTTTGTGTTTCAAGTAAGAGCAATGTATTGTGTGTATCTTGGTTTTAAACATTGGTGTTTTGTCGAATTTATGAATTACAAATTATCATAATTGTGCTTTGCATTCAAAAGAATTTCATC